TTAGTTTGGCTTGAGCTTGTCCATATGCTTAGGCAAGCAGCGGGGATTGGATGATGCTCGTGGCGCAGTGTTCTTTGGATGCGCTGACTACATCCGCGCTCAGCGCCCGCGCGTTTTCCTCTTAGAGAACGTCAAGGGGCTGCTCACGAACGATGGGGGTAACACTTGGGCTCAATGGCTGCACGGGCGGCGGCGGATGGGGCCAAAAAAGAATACGTATGACAACATTTACACTTATTCCTGCGCTTGCCTAGGTTGTTTTCAGACCTGGCGTATTTCCGACAGCTATCGATAGCAAAGCACACTCTCTTATCAGGCTACATTACTCGACTCTTTGTGTGTTTTCGTTTTCATGAAGGGTCCTAAATAGGGGTCTGAAGCCTGTCTGAAGCCTGGGTAGGCCCTGACATTATATATATCTGCTTTTTTTGATGCGTATTAAGAGCGGTTGAATTACAGTGGATTTGTGCCAAACTTGAGGCGACAGTCTTGCAGACGCTTCAGACCATCAACCACTGCGAGTACCACGTCGAGTGGAAAGTCACGGACACCCAGGAGCATGGAGTGCCGCAGAGCCGCCGCAGAGTTTACACCATTGGGATCCAAAAGGCCCCTTGGTTTATGCCTAATCTTTTCTGTTTTCACCATGGCGTTTCTTCTTTGCCTAGTGCTTGGACATCTCACCTTTTTCTATAGCACAGCTGATCATCAGCGAAAGGGCTGTGCAAGTGTGGTTGCTTGAGACATTTTTCTTGTGTTTGTGCACTTGTGGGGCTTCCGATTTGGGAGCGGTAGAGGTGCCGACTTGGGAAGAAGTGGTGTGTCCACCGCCTGCAGGCCTGGCTTCCATCGGACTTTTCGGCTTTCCCTTGGCCAGCCGCTTTGGCTCCAGCGTGCGCCGATGACTTTTTGGAGCCGAAGCAGACGCAGCCATCCATCGAGGCCAGCCCATTTTAGAGTATATTTAGAAGTTGCAACTTCACGGCACGCCCGCCATGCCTGCATTGTTTGAGCTTGCTTGCAGGACTTGCCAAAAGGAAATACATGCCGCTGGAATGCGCAAGAGATGCTACGTGAGTTGGTTGAAGCGAAGGAGGAGCCCTTGACCTGACTAGATTGAGCAAAGAGCTTGCTCATTCCGCAAGAGTTAAAGCTTGATCGTTGGGTGTGCCTCAATATCCCAAGTGCTCCAGGACCCCTTCAACCAAACATACTTTCTGGACGTGGGCATGTTGAAATCTCGTGCCAACGGGCGCCTTGGCCTATCCGGTCATGAGTGTCCACGCCGAGCCGCCCAGACTTTGCAGACTGTACCCCACTACCTGGCCCCATCACACCTTCCTGCACCCAAGAGGCTTCTTGAGCAAGCCCAGGTACTGGATCACTTCGCGGGGCCGTCGTATGACTGGGCATGAGATGGTCCGCTTTCAAGGAACTGATCCAGGCAGTTTCCAGCAGGCTCAGAAAAGCCAGACATTTTCTGCGGCAGCACAGTTGGCAGCCCTCCTAAATACGGTACTGTATATCAGCATTTATATTTATATATATATCTATACAAGCAGTTCCCGGCAAGCCGGCGGCGGAAGTTTCCTATAAGAACACATTGACCTATAGGAGTGTCCACGTTCTCTCCACCATGCGTGTCCCTCGTGTCACTCACTGAGCCAAACGCATGCGCTCCGGACTGTTGACACACACACACAGCGCCACCTGTGCAAGGTCTGTGCTCCCTGCAGGATCAGCGCACTGGGTTGTGTCTATGCCAAAGCAAGATCACCAGCCCACACCGGCGTGCTGAAGCAACTGGGCATCTGCAAGCGAAAGTTAAGTGCAGCTGGTGCGGGCACGCGAAGTGGGTGGTGTTTTCAAAGTCAAAATCATGTCTTCATTGTCCAGCTTGCCAAATACTCCGCGTACTTTACAGTTGTACTACAAAGTCGCCAGTTCTCATTTTCCAGCTCCCCAGATACTCAGCAGCGAGAGATGACTCACCAGCGAGAGATGACTCAGGAGCAAGAGATGACTCACCAGCGAGAGATGACTCATCCGCGTACGAAAGTTGTACTACAAAGTCGCCAGTTCTCAGCTTCTAGCTGCACAGCTTGCTCCGCGTACTCAAGTTGTAGTACAAAGTCACCAGTTGCTCTCTGGCTTGCTAGCTAGCGCCTTCAAACCATGGTCAGCTACATGTACGGATCCCAAAACAAAAGCAAGTCACACCCAGTCAACCCAGTCCAACCGCTGGTTCTTTCCAAACAGTGTCCCTAGTCATGGTCAGCTATACGTACAGAATCCAAAACAAAACCAATCATACCCAGGCAACCCAATCCGACTGGACGGGTTCCAAAACAAAAACAACATGCGTGTCCCTGGTCAGTCGCACGCCCTCCGGACTTTTTGACCACCACAGTGCCACCTGTGCAAGGTCTGTGCTATACTTAGGCAAGATCAGCAGCCCACACCGGCGTGCTGAAGCAACTGGGCATCTGCAATTGAAAGTTAAATGCAGCCGCGAAGTGGGTGGTGTTTTCAAAGTCAAAATCATTTCTTCCAACATTTGGTGTGCTCCTCCGTGCAAAAACAGCGAAACTGTTCCTCGTCGGGCAACGCATTTTCCGGCTGTCTGCGCGGTCCACAGCGACGCACGCAGATCGATGCCTCCCGACAAGAGCCAGGAATGGTTCACCCAGCGCCTCTGGCAGGGCTGGACAAGGTGGAACAACGGGCGGCGGGGGTGGTTCTCTAGCTACGAGGGTGGTGACATGACGTTGGTCACACCACCGCGCGTCGGAATGAATTTAGTTACAGAGGATTTCAAATTTACAATTTCCACCGCAACGCAGGTCACAACACCACACGCCACGCAGAAAAGCATGAGTGCTTCAACACTCGCGCACCAACTCTGCGCTGTCTCTCCATCTCTACACCTCAAATAAGAAACAACTACAAGTAAGAAACGGCTTCGGAAACACATGACATCCATGGTCCGTAGAAAAGCTCTCCTCTTTTTTTGCCCATGCAGCTCATGCCTACAGCACACCACCCACAGCTTTGCTTTTCTTCACCTCATCGCATGCGTGTTTGCTCAGCGCGGTCAACGAAGGCTGTGGTAGAGCAGTCCGCAACGACGTACTCCGTCACTGTCTACGAAAAATCTGCGGCACACCCCCACAGGCAGCATAAAGGAGCCAAGCCTACGGCGCCTACGGCAAACGAAAGTATTGGCGAAGCAGCCCGCAACGGCATACTCCAGGACAATTCCTGAGAAGCTGTGCAGGCGAACGAAAGTATTGGCGGAGCAGCCCGCGACGGCATACTCGGGGGTCTAACCTAAGCAGCATGTCGTCCCGGCTGTCTGCGCGGTCCGCAGCGACGCACGCAGATCGATGCCTCCCGGCCATAGCAAGGAACGCGGATCACACCACCGCGCGTCGGAGTGAATGTAGTTACACAGGGCTTCGAATTTGCAATTTCCACCGCGACGCGGGTCACACCACCACACGCCACGGACAGAAAAGCGTGAGTGCTTCAACGCATGTGCGCCAACTGTGCGCTGTCTCTCCATCTCGATGTACACTTCCAATAAGAAGCAACTACAATTACTGGCTGCTGTTTAAGGGGGTGCTGAAGTTGCACCTGAGGATCTTGAATACCATCACAATGGTTTCATTAAAGTATAACAAGCGACAGCGATAGTGAGTGAGTGACAGCGACAGTGGGCCCCCTGAGAAACCAAAGCAGCCAGCGCAAGTCACTTTTCTCTGCACAGCTGTGGTTCAGGCCGCCACCTGCAAGCATGTGATTCGACTGAGACTTGACAATTTAAAAACTCAATGATCGAGAGAGTGAGTCATCAATTAAATTAATATTAATCCACGCAGTTCATGTGCAGAATCTGACCACAAGGTTCGCTGTCCCAAGACTAGTAGGTTCGCTGTCCCTCCCTGAAAACTTAGACTAGTAGGTTCGCTGTCCCAAGACTTACTTGATCACGGAATAAAACACCCCAGTCCAGGCCTCCATCACAGTAGGCTCATACATGGACGCTTTCTCACCTCAGCAGAGTGGCTGGAGCAGAATTGTAATAACCACACACACACCAGCACCAAAAACAGTGTCAGAAGTTTCGACCCACGCACTGGCCCAATGAAGCCTTTTTCCCCCTCATCAGTGTCTGAGATGCTGCGCATCTTTGTCTGAGGCGACGCTATGCATCACTGTCACCCAAAGACACCGATCGAGACAATTGCAACCCCATCCCAACGCTTCTTTCTCTTCAAAGGTGGGTCAAAGAGCTTGCCTCCATGTTTTGTTTTTTTCGGCTTGGCTGTCTCACAGGTACCTGCAAGCTGCAAGAGTGTGCAAACTAAGTTCAGTTTAGTGTCTTGGAGGACATCGATTCAAGTCAACAAACATAAATACAAGTCTAGTGGCACGCTTTGAGATGACAATCGTTGACCTGCCACCCCAAGAGCAACATCTTGACACATCGTTTGCCCATGGCTGCTTGGGGTGATTTATAGCGGATCACCAGCTGCCTAAGCCTTCTTTAGCAAGCTGCAAAAAATTCAAAGACAGTGTCACAAATTCATTCCCAATTCCAAGTTTCAATGAGTCTGAGGAATGTTTTTGTCAGTTAGTTAAGTCCGACATGTGCAAGTCCAGGATGTCACAGGCACACAAAAACAACTAAAGCTCCAAGGGTGGCGGACCCTTGGATCAAGTTAAATGATGACAACAACAACAAACCAACTGCAATCTCACAACAGCGACATATGCCCGTCGGATGTTTTCCTTCCCATCACAGAGCCATTGGCCCGCAAGATTCGCTGAACGACACCTTAAATGTCAAAAAAATGGCTGCTCTTAAAGCGCTTCAGCTAAGAGATTCTTATTTTTATGGGCACTGCTCTGACAATGACGACAACGACAACAATAAATGTTTGGTGGAGAAAAGGAATTGAATTGCTAGGCAGCCAACTAACGGGAAAAGTTCAAGCCTACTCCGAGTTTGCTTCTTCGCTCAGTTGTCCTTCCTCATCCTCGTCGTCATCTTCATTGCCATCATCATCGTTTTCATTGTCCTCCTGATCTTTGGGGTTCTTTGGGCGCCCACGTCCTTTTGGACGACCGCGACCGCGGCCTCCGCGACCGCGGCCACCACGGCCGCGGCCGCGGCCGCCGGCGCCCCTTCCCTTACCACCATCTTCATTGGAAGGCCGGTCCTCCTCCTCACAGCCACCGTCACCATCCTCGCTCACAAGAAGCTTTGCAACTTCTGGTTTGTACAGCTTGCTCTGCGGATTGATGAAGGACTTGAACACACAGCTCGAGGCAACCTTGCGGAACCAGGTGGCATGCTCATCTGAATGGCCTGAGGTGGGTTGCGGCTGAGTTAAATTACCGTGGATTAAAAAATTGCTGGCATGGGCCACTAGACTTTTATGGTTAGACTCTGACTGTCTGACAGTGACATCATCAATCAAAGCAAGGCACAGAAGGCAACCACTGGAATCTTGCATTCCAAAATGGGCAGGATCTCCACCGGGTCACTGGCGCAAAAGAGTGTGACACTTTTTGGTCGAAAGCGGTGGACCAACTCGCTCATCAATCCATGTCCCAACGGGGCCCATGCCATGGGCTCACGATCGTGTCCGTCATCGCGAGCCGTCGCCCTGGATCGGGCAGAATCTTTCACTTGGCTGTCAGCCAACATTGAGAGCTTTACGCTCGTGGCTATCTTTGTCAAAGCTGACGGGTTCACCTTGGAGGCAAAAAGTCAACAACCGCACAACAAATGTCAATCACTTTAATTAAGAGACAGCACATACTTACCTCGATATAGCCAAAACACCTTCGACACTCCACTGATCACGTTGACTTCACATGATCCACCATGGTACTTGTTGTCGCGATTGCCAATGATGGAGGGCAAATTCTTCCCTGCGGCGATCAAACAAGCCTCGAGGCAGGAAAGGTTGAGCACTCCTCGACCAAGCGAGCTTCCGCTCGGACAGCGTTCGTCGCGCCATTTCTTGACCGACTGCTGGGTATAATTGATGTAAAACTTTTTGGCCAAGATCTTGCCAGGGAATGCTGAGTTGAAGTGCCCCCAGAGCCCTTCTCTGCCGGAATCCAAGAAAAGAAACCTGATGATCAAAATGGAAAAGAACACGCAATGTAAGCTGCATCGGGGTCACAAACAGTGTCACAAACTAACCTGCTGGACAGCGACAGACAATGACAGACGAACACTTTTAACAATGAACTTGCTGCAAAGCTTCACGTCTGAGTCATCCATGTCTGGAATGACAACCTTTTCCGCATCAAAGTCTATCGGACTGCTGGCGCGACAGGACAACATCGCATTGAAGCATTTCTCCATGTGATCTTTGCGGAAGGGCACCACACTGGCAAGGCAGCAATAAAAAACAACTGAGAGATTGAAGTCTTCAAGCCCTCCCCTTACACACTTCCGCCCCCCATCCACAAGAATTCAACGACTGACTGATTAAACAACAAAAAACATCTTAAGCAGTGCTCCCATGCCTTCGGCCATTGGCGTTCTCCCCAGATGCGTCCACATTGTAGATGTGCAGTGTGCTCTTCTCAACATCACCTTTCAGCGACGCAAAGGAACAGCCACGAAGATTTTTGGCCAGCGACACCAGACTGCCATTGCCGTCCACAGTGAACAAAGAACGCTGCACCAAGTCCTGAGCGTCCTGCCCACAGCAATGCTTTGAATGCTTTTGAAAAACTCTACGCAATGTTCGACAACGATGATGACAATGATCAAGTCTGACACTTTTAGCCTGACACTGACTGTCTTGAGCGTCTACCAAAATTAAATTAAAGCTGAATTAAGTGCCATCTGAATTAAATTCACCTGTCGAAATCTCAGGCTGCTCAGGGAGTTGAACTCTGGGCTTCATTGCTGCAGTCGGCTGGATCCTGCTCTTCATCATCAGAGGGTGCAATGCCACGCTCGGCTAGAAGCTGTCGACGCTGCTTTTTGACCAACGCGTACCACGCAGCATCATCAAATTCAGGGTTGCCAAAGAGCAAGTGACAAATATGGCATCCGCAATCATTTGGGTGTTGATCTCCCCAAAGGTATTCCTCTGGCAATTGACTGTCGGACAGCAGCGGCACATGATGGCTTGTTGAGAGGGGAGGCACTGATGATGCCGCAGTCCTTCCATCAACACAATCCTCCACAACGATCACTGCTGTGCTCTTGAGTCTTTTCAAAGGAGGCTCGCATCGATCAGAGGAACTGCCAGGACAATGACCAACCATTGCAGGAAGCGTCTGAGTCAACTACGATTTTACAATGACAAGTCAAAAATTGCTTCAGCGTGCACAACTCAATCACTCGGCCAGGTTTGACATTTCAATTCTGCAAGGGGGAAGTACGGGGTTTAATGTGTGAAAGTCTAATTAATTATTGTTAAATATAGTATTAAAAGACAGCGATTCAAGTCACGTCCTTCTGAGCATCCTTCAAGATGTCTTGCTCTTGCTTCTCCATGCCAAGGATCTTCTCTTCTGCCCCAGGTGGCTGCATTCTCAAGATCATAGCGAAGTCACCTGAGATAAGAAAATGGCTGAGGATTTCCCAAGCAAAGAGTATTACTGGCTTGAAGAAAACAGAACTTGCACAGAAAAATGAATCATGAATGGATTTCCAGTTGCTGCTCTCCAACTTTTGCTCCTCAGAGAGATCCTGCGGTTTGGTTTCATTCTCCTTGCTGTCTTCAGGTGAGATGACTTTCTTCCACTCTGGCTCCACATCTTGATGTTTCAAGACATCATCGATTTTGTGGTTGTATCGGAGCCCATTCCTGATAGCTGCGTCATAGGTTGTCCCATAGATGAAGTCAGAGATGAACTTGAAGGCATGCTGGGCCACTGGCGAAAGCGCTCCTAGCCAAGTCATGTCCGATGCAGCCACCTGCGCTGTGCTGGGATCCAGATGGCCCTCCTTCAAGTCTGGAGACTTGCCAAATGGACGCCCTCCAGTGTGTGCTCGATAGCTGGCAGGATCATGGAGCACCTGGCATAGCTAGACAATGACAGCAAACCAAAACAATTCAATCTTTCCCAAAGACTACAGGGCACTAATAAACCAAAAAAACAACTGGCCTTGCCTTCTTGAGAGTTTCCAAATCCTCAAAGCTAACCAGCCCTGACTCATCCACGTGAGCGAAGAGGCGCCGCTTGGCTTCGTACTTGAAGATGTACATGTGGACAAGCCTGACTCAAAGGACAGCGATGAATAAAAGACAATGAGCAAGAGATTCATCATCAAACATCAAACGTCCATTGGGACTAAGCTGGCAACCCCTTGCCAACAGCTGACTTACGGCCGCTCAAAGCCGAGACCGACACATCCCCAATCCGGATCACTTTGTTCACCACATGGTCAAAGAGGCCGGAAAGCACAAACTCAACGTGTGCAGGGCTGCGTGCGATCTGGGAAATGGCTTCCAATTTGTAAAGAGAGTCAAGCGGCCCCTTCTTTTCAAACCACTGCTCGCTGCTCAATAGAAGGGAGCGAATGCTGGCGTTCGTCAGGAGGTTGTCGTGGATTTGAATTGCCAGCTTCGAATAGCTCTCGGTGATCTTCTCTCCATGGGTGACCGTCAGGTTGGAGTTGAATGCAGCCCACAACTGACCTGCAGTCAGTTTGTGTCCCGCACGGGACTCTTCCTCGCTTCTCCATTGTACCAAATGGAAGATGCGCTGCAACTCAGTCAGCCAGTGGCAAACCAACAAGCAAGAAAACAGTTAATAAAACGCTCAGCTGATCAACCTTTCAAATTGCAAGTTGGCTGACAAGCAATAAAACAAGTAACGGAGTCAATGCTCAACCCTTCATTTTGCAAGTTCAATGTCAACACAATGACAAGACATCGACTCATTCAACGCTACTTCTGCCAAAGTACCGTCGAATAGTAGAGACAGTCAAACTGCTCACCGATTCGCTCCCGAGCCTTTGCTGCCTGCCAAAAGATGGCCTCATAGGACGTGATCTTCACCATCCTAGCAACACAGGACTTCCAAGCGGCCACCCAACCCTCCACGTTCTTTCCAACTGAAAGGTCCCTGTCTGTCGACAGCACAAATGCATGGTGTTCTTCTTCAGGTGAACATCTCCGCAGCATCCCATTGTGCTTTCCTGGCCATGATGAGGCCTCCTCGACAGCGAGCTCCAAAGTCAAAGGAGCAGGTTCTCGGAATGTAGCATTCATGAGGTACCTGACCTGAGGTGAAAAAGCGAAGAGAGGTCCCTTTAAGACAAG